TTCCAAATATTATCCCTATCCACTATGGCTGCAGACACTTTGGCCGAACTAAGAACAATAGGTTCGTCTAGCCTAACCTCATCTAGGTCACTATCCGACACTCCCAAAACTTAGAAGTCATTTTTCACTTGAAGAAGGAATGGATACTTACGAAAATAACTTAGTGAAAACTTCAAAGAAGATGGCAGGAAAACTTAAGCACGCTAAAATGTCACCAGAGATTTGAGTGAAAGAGAGAGTATAAGATTGGCCAAAGTGAAAAGTTTAAAATATGGGAAAAACGCCTTTTATAGGCAGCCTTTTATAGGCAGCCTTCACAAATCACCACAATTGAATGCAAACACGATCCATCAAGGCCGTTAATCTCTATATAGATCCAAGCTATAGAAATCAAACGTCAAATATGATTGACTCTCACTATCTAACGTTGAAGTTCACGTCGCCCTAAAGTGCGTCCCCTTGAACCTCAACAGTCGCTCGCCATGATTAGTGGTGGCAACCTTCTTTGGGAATAGGCAACAATCTAACTGTCTCTCGTGGGACCTACGTCAATTTTCAAATCATTGGCTAATCTGTACATCTAGAGCCTCGTCTCCTTGTGGAACCATACCTCTGTGACCTCAACTTTCTCAAAGTTGCTATCCCCTAAAGCCTTGCCATATTGTCTCTCAAAGCTACTATCCCCCAAAGCCTCGTCCCATTATGGGACGATGCCTCTACAACCTCTGCTTTCTTATAACTGCTATCCCCAGAGCCTTGTCCCCTTATGGGATAACACCTCCGTAACCTCAGCTTTCTTAAAGTGGCAACCACCCACTCATGAGCGATCTAGAAGTCCAGGCATTATATAAATATTCATACCTTGACTTGAGGGACCATTGTTACGTCCCTTTAGTGTAGAAAATGCTTCAGTAAAAGGATAATCCGAGGCGGGAGCCAGGATAGGCTATTAATCGAGATGTCACTGTCCTAAATGACATCATCCGAGGTAAGCGGGGTTTAAACAAAGCGTTGTTGTCTGAAGAGACAGAACCGAGGCATTGTGTAAGGGAGAAGTGAGGAGTGCATCTCCACCGCCATTTTGTAAAGATACGAATCTTTTGGTAAAATATTAGTCCATATCTTTGAGAATGATAGATGTGACCTCTATCAAGTGCCAACTCCTAATCAAAAGAATTAAACGCCCGCCCACCTAGGAAAAGATTGGACACCTATGAACGAATGCCACGCACCGTTAGATGAGGCCGCATGTCTCACATCTGACAGTATCCCTTCCAACTTCTCCCTATAAATACCAAGGAGCCCAACCCAAATAAGGTTAGATTATTCCACTAGAAGTATATACTTTCCTCATCTCCCATATATAAAGATTTTTAGAAGATTACTGCCATTAGAATATACGTTCACCGTTGACTGATTTGATCGTCAAAGTGTATGTGGTCGTTACCATCTTTGCTGGGAATGGCCATATACGTCTGACCATTTGTGTCATGCGTAGGGAGGAATAAATGTGGAGTAGCTCTCGGCTGATCACGTGAAAGGACCATTTTGCAAGGTCAACAAAAGCTATGACCAAAATTTTGAACACTATTTAAGGATGACACTACGCAAATCGCAGTGCGCGTGAGACAATTCTGGCCTGTGCGCAAGATACCAAAAATTTGACATGGGAGCCATTTGGACCAATAGCGCACGCGCGGTGGTTATGCCTGTGCTTGTGCAAGATTTTTTTGCAGATAAATCAGCAGTAACCTTTCACGATTCAAACTCTTTTGAGACCCAAATTGGACACAATTTTGGCCGATTTTATGGCTATTATGAAAAAAGAACAAGGGTTACACATTGAAAAAAAAAATTCATACCTCTTCATACATAAGAATACCATTAAATTCATCAAGAACAAGTGGTCAATTCATCAATTTTGCGAGAGAAGATCAAACCTTGGCTAGAATTAAAGGCTAATTATATTAAGAAATTGAAGAATTCAACCTTGGACTTGAAGATCAACATCTTTTGAATTCTATATAGATCTGAGTGATATTTTTCTATTATTCTTTTTGTAATTTATGTATTAATATGTTAAGCTAAATCAGCTTTTGTATTTGATAAAAATGAACACTATTTGTTATTTATTTAAAAATTAAAACTAGTACTTTAGTATGAGATTCTTAGCATCATATGACCCATGTTTGATTTTAGAAGCCGAGCTCAAAGCTACACTGGACGGGATTCTATTGGCTAGAAGAATTGGGTTATCAGCTATTTAGGTTAAGACAGAATCGACCGTGGCTATTTACTGCATCACTAGGGGTGGAGGACCATGGAAGATTTTGCGCACTCTTAGACAAATCAGAGAGCTCATCTCCTTTAATAGAAACATGGTTCCCCACATCTACAGAGAGGAGAAACCAAGATGAAAACTCACTTGGTTGGGATTACCGGCGCTATCAAGAGTATAGACCATCTAATCTACCACGATAGATTAGGATACTAGTGCAAATTGACAAAATGGACTGCCCAGCTTTAGAGGTTTGTAGCTTAGGCTCCATTTTTTGCATTAATTTCATTGTACAACGAAGTAGTACTTCCCTATTTATTGCCTTAATTTCTTTTTTATTCACTTGTTTCGTTGTTGCTTTTTCAGAAGTCAGGTTTATGTCCGCCTCCTTCCATGTATTCTTGATTATATATATATATATATATATATATAGTTGGGGAACCCCTAACCCCCGTCGACCTTTCTTTGTGGACCCTAAAAAGTCATGAAGGATGTGTCAATGTCTTTATTAAAAAAAAAGACTATTAATTTAGTATTTCTTTTGTTCCTTGATTAATTTTACATATCCATTGCATTATTTAATTATTTGGTCACCAGTTAGATAATTAGTTGCTTGTTGTAGTGTTGGGAAACTCATAATAAGTATAGAAAGTGGCAAAACTAACATATGTGCAATAGATGTTAGGAATATTATCACGTGTACAATCATAAAAATAATCTAAACTTTAATGCATTCTAACCATTTGAATTCGAGATAGGAATAGATTCGGGTCATGGTTACGATAAATTTAATTTGTCTTGAAAAAAGAAATTATATATCTTAACTTTATCGATTATCAAGAACGTATGAATGGAATTAGATTACAAATCAAGAATTGAAATAAATAGCAATAGGCAGATTCTAGATCCAATACAATCATCCATATTTGATAAAATCCTAATTTTATCACTTTCTTAAATTAATTTAGAATAAGCATAAAATCAAATTTTTTTTTTTTTACATAATTCAAATTCCATGTATAACTGATAAACTTGAGATGATAACTTATAACCCACTAAATCTATTACTTGTTAATGATCTTGTACGCTTAAGGGTTTCGTATGAACAAGTTTTTGACGCTATCGTCGAGAAATAAAATATTTAATTTGAGTTTATTATTTTACATAGAATTCAATTTTTTTTTTTTTTTTTTT